AAAAGTAACAAAAAATAATACAAATATTGTTAGTGTGCAGAGAAGTGCAAATTATTCCAAATCTGTAAGATAACATAGTACATTATGTAAAACAACTTGAAATGAAAAAAAAAGAAGATAATAATAATAATCCTGTTTAACAAGCTGTGTGTTAATGTAACACATTGAATCATGTTTGTGTCTGAGGATCTCTGGCCTTGTTGAACACTTTAATAGAAGCCTCGCCCCAAGAATAAAGCCTCACAAACTGCTCAGGAACTGCTCGAGGAACACAACCAAGAGCCGGAGGTGTTGACTCGGCCTCCAAACCCCCCAGATCCCAACCTGATCAACCATCTACAGGATGCATCAGATCCACAGAGGGTAAACCCCACAATGACCTGCTGCCCACTGTTTTCAGTCTTTAATAGATCGGAGCTGTTCTGTTTGTGTGTGGAGCTCTGCAGACTATTCAGCAGGTGGTTTTAATGTTGTGAGTCTGACAGCAGCCACCTGGTCAACGTTTGGACCGACAGGGAACTGGTTTGGTTTTAGCAGTTTTGCAGCAGCAGGTCAGCGCTGTGATAAGCTGCCACATAGACCCTGATTCAGGCTGACAGCAGTTTATGGTCTGTCCTGATGGCAGCAGGGAGAATGCTGAGATCCCAGAATAAACCTCCCTGTCACGGATCCACAGCAGCTGTTGGCTGCACATAGAGCTCCGGTTACTATTCTGAAATTCGGACGTTATTCTAATACAGAGCTGAACGTAAAGACGAGCGTCTATCAGAGTCAGGACGGCTTCCATCTTTAACGGTTTGTACTGTACAGCAGGGTGTGTTTTAACAGGGATTCACAACTTCACAGGAAGAAATGAATTCAAAGACAGGATGACATCAGCTGACATACGTAGAAAACCTAAAAACACTGAGACTGGAAGCAGAGAGAAGCAACACAACTCGTCGACTAGAAACAACACCAAATATTAACTTACACAATTTGTACATTTCAGTTAAATGTTATTTTTCTAAAAAGTCACTTGTATGAGAATAAGGATTTAGTCCCCACAAAAACACAACGTAGCAACAAAACTCGTAAAAAAAGTTTCGATTTCTTTAAAAAAAGAAACTACATTGTCTTTAAAGCCTCCTCAGTTTCAGTTACTGTCTCAAAATTGCACAAAAAACAAAGTTTGTTTTAAGACCTGACAAAATGTTCAAGCATCTGCATCTAAACATCACAGTCAGAAGTATATTTATGCAGGACTTGTCTCTTGATTTGAAATATTTTCAGAACAACTTCTAAACTTTGATTTAAGACATCTTATGCTGCTTCCTCTTTTTTTGTTTTTGGTCTTAATTTCGGCAGCAGACAAAATCTCGTCCACATTCAACACATTTTCACGCTTAACAAAATGATTTGTCTTTAATATAACAACAACAACAACAACAATAATAATAATAATAATAAAAATAAAAATATGTGTTTGTCCTTTAGTCAGAGTTTAAGCTTGTCTTATATCAGAGCTCAGTACTTCTATGCAACACAGGCTGAGTCGTGGAAAGAAACTAAATACATTTACTCAAGTACTGTACATAAGTGTTTTCATTTATTGCTGTGTTATACTTCTACGCTACTACTATTTATAAGCAAATACTGTAATTTTAACCCTGCGAGAGTTACTTAATGCAGATTTATTTTTTTGATACAATATATAATCAACAAATAAAATATGATGTAATATTGTAGCTTTATCTAAAACATGAATGCATCAGTAGGTATAATCCAATAATATCGTATAAGTTACGTTCACATATGGTCGACCAATAGTCTTTTAACATGTTTTAACATAAATTTTAGTTTTTTTTTTTTTTTTTTAAGTTTTAGGTTTGAATGTTTTAATCATTTATTGTTAAACTTATTACAACTGTACAATATTTAATGCTTCATATTACATTTACTTGTTTTTGTTCATTATTTTTATTCCTTGACTGTATAACCTCGTGCAATGTCTGCACTTTAATGAATGAATAGTTGCAAAGATGCTGTTATGTATGTCTGGAATAGTTGTGTGTGGTGGTAACTTTCAGCAGAAGACAATTTTCCCCAAAGAACAACAAACTGATCCTAAAGCTTGAGACTGCAGGTGTGTGATTGGCAGTAAATGAGTCTAATCAAATAACAAGAAGAAGAAGAAGCAATTCCTTCATATGTTTACAAAACCTATTTCCTCCTCCTGTAGGGACAACACAGGCTGCAATAAGTTAATGCCTCTTTACATCCAACTAGATCGGAGCCATTTGTTATGTAGTCACATGTACAACTGACATTTAGAATTTACTATCTAAACTGGTCATTAACCATCACATAAGTCTTTGTCATGGTGTCCGTTGCTAGCTAAACTCCCACAATGCTTTCTGCTTGCCAACATGAACTGTCTGTAGTCTGAGTGACGTCTCCTCTGGTTTCTACAGTGTTTAACAGTAAGAGGCTCCACCTGGTGGAACAACCAGGTACTACAGCTGATCTATGGTACATTTTCTGAACATCATGTAGAGAATACAGGTTGTTTTTGTTTTTCTTCATCTTTTGGAGCTTGTGGAGCCACAGTACATCCTACCCTCTACACAACACTACCCTAACGCTGTGTTCACACCAGACGTTATTTGCGCGATTCGATTGAATTTACCTTTGGTGCGTCTGGTGTGAACACAGCATTAGGGTAGTGTAGTGCAAAGGGTAGGGTGTACTGTACTGTACTGTGTACTGTACTGTACTGTGTACCAACGCTACATTTAGACAGTGTTCTACTGGAGCTATACGACAAGGTTCCTGAACACCTGCAGAACAATAAGGAACAGACTGGAGGCAGAAATGCAATTGTTTTTCTTGATGCATTGCAGAGATTTAGTTGTCAAGCATATACACTGGATTGATTTCAATAACTTTAAGATACTTGAAGTGTGTATCGGATTAGGACTAGGATTAAATGACTCGGATCGTATGGGGCAAAAAAACCCAAAACAAAACACAACACAACACAACACAACACAACAAAAACAACAATATCTCCAAATTACAGCTCCAGATCTGTAAAAACAATGACAGTGTTCAACAGTGTTCAGCATTGCAAGCTCCACCCCAAAGGTTCTTGTACTTTGGAAATGCTGGTCTATTATTGGACATTTTGGGGCTAAAATAACTCCAGGAACCTAATTTAGACCCTGGTTCCTGCTTTGGAAACATGCTGAGTTCCCTTAAGGTTGCGATGTTGGAAGAGGCCCAATACTTGACATGGAATTCAAATAAATGTCACTCAAACAATGAAAGCATAAAAGCATATTTTCATTTTGCCAGAAACCAACAGATGCTGGTATAATACCAAGCAAATGTCAGTTATTTGGTTATAATTTTACAGGGATTAAAACTGGATTTCGTCACAGAACTCGAACTTTTAGGCAAAAATGCTCACGTCTGAGCCAAGTCTACTGTCTGAATGTTTCTGATTGAGATTCAAAATCTGACACCGCTCTCCTCTTGTCCGACCAAAGCTGATCCCACACAGCCTGCAGCGATGAACAGAGCTTCTTTGATCACCGTTAAAAATCCTTGTGTTCAGAGAAACGTCTTTTTTCTGTCTGTCGTCTGACCAGCTGCTTCCACAGAGAATCCCACAGCTCTCCAATTTAATGCTATTATAAAGACTGTCCATCTCTTCAACAACGGCCGACTCCTCAATCAGCACAAGAGCCTCAAAGTGTTCTCACTCTTAAAGAACGTATCGCGTGTCGACTGGAGGACGAGACACGCAGTTCTGGTTTATTCATGACTCGATGGGGATATTCATGCATGCTGATGTTGCCGTGGTTTCTAAAATCACTTAAATGGCTCCAAATTAAAGAGTTCAGTGGAGTGTTTCAGATTTCCAATAAAAGTCTGCAGCGAATGTTTTCACGCCGACCTGATTAAGGTCGTCCACACTTTGGAATAAAGTGTGCCCTCTCCACATAACGAGGATGCTTTTCTGTAAATTGCCGGTGTTGCAGAGTCGAGGGCCCTTGAGAGTTTCAACTTAATCCACCCTTCATTTCCTCACATCGCTGCTTGCCCTCTCGCCGCTGCTTAATGAAGCCAGAGTTCATTCTTCGCTGCTCGGCAAAGTTTGTTATCCTTAATTCCTGATACTTAATTTAATTATACTCCAGCCCCTCGTAAACAGAAACCTGGATCTGCTCAATCTCCTACGTCTGTTGACTAAATTCACATTTTTATTAGAGTTTTTAGAGTGTTTAGTTTTCTTGAAGGTCATGAAACTCAATTTTCTCAATCACCTCCATGAACAGGAAGGATAAAGATGCATTGTCTCAGGTATTTTTGTTATTACCTTTGGTTTACATTAGGTCGGTATCAGTTGAATCTTGGACCACATGTTTCGTCAATTTTTAGCTTTAATTCAAATTGTCTACTTGAAATCCTTTTGTTACATGCTGTAGTTCAGCCAGTGATTCAAGATGTAAAATTATACAGTCAATCACAAGAAAAACCCAATTTTGTGTAGTTTTGCTGCTTTCAGTTTCACATCATCAGCCCTCACATTCATCTGGTCGACATCCACGTTGGAAATATGTGTATTAATCAATCAGAAATTTCTTGGTAAATGAAAACCTGACAGAAAAACTGATGATTTGATCACCTGCAAATGCACAACTGATTAAAGTCCAGGTGTTTCATTGCTTTTTTTTTTCAGGAACAGTTGCTGTCCATTAAATTTATTTGAGGTTCTGTTGGTTTTATTGTGTAACTGTGTCCATAAGTCTCCTTAAAGGGTCATTGGGACAAACAAAAGTCTTAAAAAAGACAATGTTTGATGATGTTGATGAATTGCTTGAATCACTAATTCAAGGACAAACTGTGTCTTTGTCATTTAAATAGTTTCATTGACAATAACGATCATTTGCTGTGATTCAGAAGGTTGAAACCCAGACCTCCATACCATGCTGACACTTTGGTTCTCTGCCTACCTGGTAGATGACGACTCGGAACTTGTTTCTGGTGAGCAGTTCATCCTGCGTCGACTCTACTTTCTTGACCCGAACGTTCTGCTTCTCGACACGCGTCCGGACCTCCTTGACGTTGGCGCTGACCTTGCGGGTCTTCTGCAAGAGCTTCTCCACGGTGCCACTGGTGTCGGTGTGGTCCTTGGCCAGCTTCAGAACGTCACCCTGGATGGTCTTGATGTTGTTCTCCAGCTCTAGCTGACGCTCCTCCATACGCTGCTGGCAGGACTGGACGTTGTCGATGATGCCGGCGACGCGCTCCAGCAGCGACAGGATGGTCAGGGCGCTGATGGGGTTCCCGGCCTCGTCCTCCACCCCGACGATCTCCAGCTTCTCCTGGACACCTGCCGTGCGATACCTGTGCTGATCCATTGCAGTGTTTTGATGCTTCTTTTCTTAAGTTTTGCACTAAAGTTTCAGTTTTGTTGTTGAGTTTCGGGAAATCGAACCAGAACCGATAGGGGTTACCAGCAGGGAGACCGGAGAGAGGCACACCCGACCGCTGTGACCCAAACTCAGGTCTGGGGACAGGAGAGAGTGGAAACTCCACCTACCCCTTTTAAAAAAGGCTCCAGGATCCAAAGAGAACCTGAATTTGGCCCTCATTGGGACGTGGGCCAGGCGATAAATTCAGAGGGGAGCGGCAGTGCTCACACGAAACCCCCCTGCAGCTAAAAATAAAAACTTTGTAAGGTGACACTTTGACATTTTGAGAAGATGCAAAGCAGGGGATGATGGAAATCCCCATCCAAGTCCTGATTTGCTTTGTTACACCCATGCACTCTGATTCATAATTTTCCGTTATTCGTCCGTATGTCCATGCTAGCAGCTGTGAAACGTGTACATCAACAACCGCCCAGGAGTCATTCTGCAACTCTGCAGTGACAGATGCAAAGAAGTCACAGTTGTCTGGTCTGATTACACAGCGACGGAATGTTTTCAGGGGATTAAACACTGCAGCTCTGCCCTTTTTACTTTCCCCCTGGGCAGCAGAGTCCAAACATTGACAGAGATTGAGATCTGAAGCTCTTTATAGACATGACTGACAGTTCCAGAGCGTGAGGAGGAGTATCAGAGCGACACTATTTTAACACCGAACAGACACTGCACGAAGGGATTTATTTAGCGTGAGCATTGCTCTGTGTACAGTACATGTCTATTAATATGTTTTACATAAATACCTTCATTTAGTCACTGTTAACTCATTCCAAAGCTGCATCACTGTGACCTGTCGGATGTGAATATGGAAACTAAACCCTTGAGGTAGGGACAGTTTCACGTAAACTTTCTTACCATCCACTACCAATGTCTTCCATTAACTCTTTCTTCTACAATTGCAGGGCACATTTAAATTCACAACGCTAACTTACATATCAGTTGTGTTAATTTGGGTTTAATTTGCACAACTGGTACTTGGTAAATGGTACAGGAAGATGCCAGGATTTCAGTTCAGTAAGGTAACACAGACATTGCATTTACTTTGAATGAATTAAGGATAAACGTATGATTTTCTTCAACTATTACATGAGGACATGTCCTGCCTTTGCTTCTGGTTTGAAAAAGTCGAGGCTTAGTTGCACAAAGACAATATCATGTCCTAAGTTTAGAGGGAGAACACACAAAGAAAAATGTTTTCGTTTTAAAGCAAAATTTTTAGCAACTTTTGGCAAAATCTATTGAAACAGAAGATAACTTGCACGGCTACTAATCATAATTTAATCAATTAATCCCGAGAGGTGTCCAGCCTTTTCCCTGAAGCTGTGTCTACTTGCAACGCTTTGGTTTTAGATCAACCAGTGATGTAAGATGTAAAATGATCCAAAAACTAAAAAAACAAAAGCAGCTTTTAATTTTGCATAGTTTTCTGCTCTCCCATTCAGATAATCTTAGATTAATCCTGTGAACACCAGTGTTGGAAGTGTCACTTTACGTGGTCACGCCAGTCAGGAAAAACCCTATCCACTTCCACTATGAGGTTCTTTTGAATGAATGAATGTTGGATGTTCTTTTACACTGTTTGGAGCTGACTGACTGCTGAATGTGTTCGACTGATGCCAGCAGCTGCAGCTATCCCTGAATACCCCCCCTCAATCCACCACCTCTGGTCTGTAACTCTATATTTACCCCCCCACACCCCCCCCCAGGGCAGCGAGCCTGAAGCCCCGCCCACTGCAGAAATGCAGTGTGGTTGGTTTATTTTCATACGAAGAGGCGGTGACCTCTGCTCCGGCTCAGGCTTCTGCAGATGAGCACTTTTCTAATTAGACAGTTAATAATGCAGCCCCTCCTCTGGCAGGTGGGTGGGACTGATAATGAGGGCTGAAGGCCACATTCAACCTCATCTGTCCTCGTTTTCAAACCACTAACTCCCACAGCGTCTCTAACAGGGCTGGTATAAGTGTGTTATTTCATGCTATAATATCTATTTTTGCAGCTGAGGTTAATCCATCCATCCATTAGCTATTGCATATTTATCCTGCCGGGGCCTGGAGTCAGTCCCAGCTGACATTAGGTAAAGGTCTGCATGCAGCCTGGACAGATCACCAGTCCATCACAGTCAGCCACAGCCAGTTTACAACCACTAAATAACCTTCCATGCATGTCTTTGGACTGTTGAGAAAACAGATGCAGGGAGAACATACAAACCAGCAGGTTCAAGCCTCTCCTTGCTGTAAGGTGACAGTGCAAACTGCTGCTCCAACGTGCCGCTCAACAACAATTAAAGATGCAACAAAATCATTCCATGCATTAAAACAACAGGAACAAATGGCGTCGAATTCAAGCCAAAGGCTAAACTGGACATGCATTGCAGAAATTCATAATTCAGTTAGTCTAAAAGAACATTTCAGATGTCCACACTGTTGTTCTTATTAGGTCAAATGACATTTAAACGTTTCTCATCACAGATTCTGCAGCAAAATTCTACCTGGTCTTAAACTTTCAGACATGATTTGCTGTAACACTACCTCAAGATATCTTTAATTCCCCTCAATTCAAAACATCTACATTGTCCTTTTTTAGATTTCTCACATTTAGTTTTATCTGGTTAAAATCACCCAGACATGTTGAACTGGGGTCTGCCTCGTCAAAGTGTTATTACAGATATCTTGAATTAGACAGAAAGAACATTTTGCAAGGTGGTGCAGTTGTTAGCACCGTTGCCTCGCAGCAAGGTCACCGGTTCGCGTCCCAGTGAGGATCTTTCTGCGTGGAGTTTGCATGTTCTACCCGTGCAGAGTGGGTTCTCTCCAGGTTCTCCAGCTTCCTCCCACACAGTCCAAAAACATGTTGAGGTTAATTGGTGATTCTAAATTGTCCGTAGGTGTGAATGGTTGTCTGTCTCTAAGTGTAGCCCTGTGATAGACTGGTGACCTGTCCAGGGTGTCCCCTGCCTTCGCCCTAAGTCAGTTGGGATAGACTCCAGCCCCCCTTGACCCTAGTGAGGATTAAGTGGTGTATAGATAATGGATGGATTTTCGATTTCTGAAGTCAAATTTAAACTGGTTAGAATAATGCAGACATCTTGAATCGGAGTAACTACAGACACCTTTAATTATTATCTGTAGTTACACCAGAAGCTACAGCAAATGGGAAGCGACTTGATTTCACTGCAAACTTATATGACAGCAGTTATACCTTCATGTCAGAGCAGCCTGAGGCTGAAGTTTGAGTATATTTCAACACGAAGCTCTGGTTCTAAACAAACTCTTTGTGGATGAGTTCTTCCAATTTTGCAGCACTATTGAACCATTTTATCCAACACAGCAGCCACAGTTACTTCTGCTAACACTGTTCAAATTCGTCATTAGACTGATATCTAATGGGAAGCCTCGTATAGGCAGCTTCATGCACAACCATTTTTAGACTAGTCATAATAGCATTTGCGATATCATGAGCTACTACTCCAATCATTTCAAATGAAGTACAGATATTGGATTTGACTGGTCAGAATGATGTTATCTGGAAGAAAAAGCCAGTAGAGCTAAGACGAATCAAAATGACGTTCTCGATATCTTGTCCAGTCAGACTCTGTCATTAAATGTTCAAACATCCTTCAAATAAGACCAGGACTCAGTGGATTGAAGTCTGGAGCAAAGACTGGTGGCAGAGAGTTCTCACAGTTTATTGATTAGAAATTGGGCAAATGTGTCTTTATTCCAACCAGGAAGAAGCAATCAGATGTTTCAACATGGTTATAAGACGCATCCAAATATGACTATTTTGAGCAGATTATGAAATAGTTTACAACGTCCTTCTACATCGGAAAATTCTTTCAATATCGTTTTTTCAGACTTGTCTGGGCGCCAGAAAATCTGATTTTAATCTACTTTTTTACAGCTGTTTGTAGGCACTTGGTTGTTTCAAGTAATATCTTTTTACCTGTGAAAAGGAGCTCAACTCAGTCGGAGGTCTGGAGATCATCGTCAACAGGAAAACAGCTTTTGGTTGATGTGCTTTCTCACTTGAAGCTGTGAACAAGTGGAATTCCATCAACACAAACATTACATTTTTATTTTATTATCTCACACTGATGGATTTTAAAGTTTTGTATTGTTTACTGTATTTATTGCTCCGTGGTTGTTCTCTTGTTCTGTACCTGCCCAGGGACAACAGATGCTAATTAGCTACTAGCGAACTCTGGTGCAATTACTTTTAATTGTGCGTCGTCCCTGGAAAATAAACAAATGAATTAATGGGCCGATCCAACTGAGGTGGTCATATGAGGCACTTTTACCTTGATTGGCCCATAATTCTGATTATTTGTGGATAGTCCGGATCCATGTAAACGCAGCTACTGTCACCATTAGAAGATGTATGCTGTTGGTGTTTAGTATGGAATTAGGACACGGTGTCCCTGCAGAGCAAAAACAAAAGTGTCTTTTGTCTCCTGTGACTGATAACAGAGGTCATCTCAATAATTTGTGTATCTGCAGTCGAATCACACACACACAGGATTTCTATTAAAAAAGCATCATTAATTCATCACAAGAAGTGGAATATACTGTAAAATGAGAGCAGCGTCACACAGATCAAAGAGACAGCTGACAGCGGAAATAAAAAAAAGGAACATTTCAATCAAATAACAAAGCAGCACTCTGACGTACATTAAAAAAACATTTTTTATTTTGTCAGAGACCAAAAGTAGTCTCTCAGCGTCTACATGCAGAATATTAACATGTCAAACACATTCTAGTCACATTTAGAGAAGTCACGGCTGCGATGGTCGACAACAAGTAGAAACACGTCGCTCAGGTTCGGGTGAAGGTTGACCTACGATCTGCAAATGTAGAGACTAAAGACGGTACAGAAAAAACTGCTGTGACGAAAAATCAAACTTATAAACATACGGAGAAGACAAACCTCCCTGAACTCGCATTTTGGACCTCAGCACGGCCTCGGAGGTTCGCCAAATCTGGTGTCGCTATCTAGTCGTTCCTCCCTAGCCTCATCTTCCACTGCACAATTAATAATTAATTGATTAATCAGTAATTAAATTAAATCACTGTAAACTTACTCTGAAGGTTAGGAGTCATTTTAGTGCCCTTCTACCTCTGTTATTGTAGCTAGCGGGCTATCTGATAGCATTAGCTTATAATAGCTTCACGTCCCAGTTAGCAACAAAATTAGCTCCTGATCACATAAAAATGGTTGCATCATAAATATGTTCACAGGTTTATTCGTTCTTGTGGCGAGATGGGGGTCATGTGGACGGCGAGCTAAATGTGAGAAGCTAGCGCTAAGCTAGCAGGCTAACCAGACATCAAGGAGCCACAGTTCAGTAAATAGTTGTACCATCAAGTTATGCATTTGTTTGCACCACGTGCTTGAGCAACCTGGGCTAGGATTTGATTGTGATTGATTGATTTGTTCACTGTAAAACCATACATTAGAAACTTTTCATCAATGAATGTAAAAAAAAAAAAAAAAACCTGAATGGAGGATAACAAAGATTTCAGTTTGGGAGTGCCGAAGTTAAACTTTGGTTGAGAATAATTGCAAACTTTCTTACAATATGAAGTGAAATTGTGGGATTTTAACAAAAAAATAAAAATAAAAAACACATTATTTGACTTGGAGAATAAAACAGGCTGTGTTACGGTGAAGTCAGGGCCACAAGAACAACACAGCATTCATTTTCATTCACAGCATGAACAGATCCCATCGAGCATCGGTGTGACTGTTGCTGGACCAAATCTGAAATATTTGCATTCACAAAAGGTATAAAAAAAAAAAAAAAGAAGACGAAAGACCATGTTCTATTGTTAAGACAAGGTATTTTGGAAATGGTCACTTTAAAAGTCTTCGCTTGTAGAAACCGATGTAAACTTTTAAAAGAGGAATCGTGGAATGCAACCTGTTTTTTAGTCTGTATTTGTTGGACCAGTTCCCTGCAACTTAGTGTACTACATTGTGGAAAAGAAAGTACACAAAATGAGCTTTTGTGTTAGTTTTTCTTTTGAATACCTTTGCATGTACTGACGATTATCCATGAATTACTGGGATACTGAAGAAAATCTAAAGATTCTCAGCTAAATTCGTAATTCTTTTACATGCATCTATTGTACATGAGCTCAGATTTCGTAATTGTAAGACTTTTTTTTCCCATTTCAAACTGGTATAATTATCAGACAGGGTTGCTAAACTCTTTTTCTTTCATTAATGCAATGTGTTTGCTGTCCCTGTTCAACACCAATTTATGGTTTCTGGTGGGTCAAAATATCCTATATATTACTGAGTTGGTTGGTTTGCCACAGTATGCTTTGGAGTCCAACAGTCCAAATGCTGCCATTGAGCTTCACTGTGATTACCAACTGGAACCAGAACAAACGACAGGAAAACATGGGCTGAAATACGTCGAATGAACCTGCGGCCAAACTTTAAATTAGCTAAAAGTAGGACTGTGTTATTGCTGAAATGCTGTGACATTTTCAGTTGTACATTTATTTTCCCAGATGGATGTTTCTTGATTTGGTCCAAGAGGTTAGTTGGTGTACAAACGTAGACATTTGGTTTAAATCACCAAAAAAAATGCAGCTGCTTGACAAGAACATGACCCAGAATGCGGAATAAAAATATTTGCAAATGGAGGACAAAATGAGCGTACAAGACTTTGTGGATGCGGAAACCATAAACTGGCCCTAAGACTTAAAAACACTCAGACATGAAGAGACTTTAATGACCTAAATTTGGGTGTTTCCATCGAACTGTTAAGCGAATTTAAAACAAACTTTAAAAATTATAAAATAAAACCTCAATTAGCTTAACTAGTTAATTAGCTAGCGATTAGCTTCCGGGGCAAATAAACTAGGTTCTACAGTGTCATCAGAAGGAGGCGCTGTTGCCTTCATTACACATGGTTGTAATAAACAGAGCTGAAGAAGCTGAAAACAAAACTAGTTGCCACCAACAAAGAAACTTAAATAAAGAATAAACAAACAAACAAAAACTTTTGCGATTTACTACAGAAAAATGGAGCGATGTCTTGAGGAATGGTTTCCATTTGGGGAAGTTGTAGTTATTCTTTCATGTCAGCTGGTGCTGGTCATGTTTTATGATCTCTGGAGATGAAGACCCCGAAATAAAATGTGAGCTACATGTTGGCTATGTCAGAACTTTTGCAGACACTGTGTTTCCATGTCCCATTAAGTGCATAAACACTTTTGACAAACTCCAAAACCAACTAGAGCAAAAGTTTTCAGGTACTTTTTTTGAATGTTGGTGTTTTCTATGAACTTGTTTTAAATGTGATACTAAAAAATGCACACAGCAATGTTATGGAAAAATGTCTAGTATCTGTAAGACCTTATCTCATGGCCACACTAGAAGGAAAATGTGGATTTTGAGTTAGATTTTTTACGATGTATTGTGTTTCAGTTGTTGCCCGTTGGAATATTATTGGTTTTCTTGTGGGACCCTTTGTGCCGAAATGTCTCACTGAGGCCCAAATGCAAAACAAATAAAAAGACAAAATTAATCTTTCACATTCATAGAAAAATCCTTGATTACAACCATCTCAGCAACCAAGACTTCTTCCAGTTACATGAAAAATACCAAGAAGAGTTGATTTGCAGTCCCCCAAAAACCCCCACACAGCCGACTTCAGATTTACAAACGAAGATGCTGAAACATTCCTGCCTCTAAGCCTTACAATCGACATAAATCTGCTCCTGGTCGCAGCAGAAGTGGCTTTACTCCAAAGTTAAAGCCTGCAGACTGATTTCCAAGCCTTATACATTCCTTTTTTTTTTTAAAACACTGAATAACACCTTCCCTCCTCAGAGTCCTCGGTTCATCAGTCCGAGGAGGCGTCGACAGCTTTTCCTTTAAAAAGTTAAAACTACACCACAGTACACAGTTTTCACAAGTCATGCGAATATACAGGAACTAGAATTCAGAACGGAAGTTAACATAAAGACCTTGAGTAAAAACTACTTTCAAGAAAAGAATTATCAGAATAAATTATTAGCTTGTTTAACCACAGTGAAGTCTTTACATGGAATTTCATACCAAAGAATAAACGGCTCTATGTGACTGGCTGGCCCCGTCCCACCTCCAACAGAACAACATTTAGAACCAACTGCATTTGGTGATCAGCTGCACATTATTAGTTAAAAAAAAACAGCGGGAGGCAAAGAAACATGATTTTCAATAAATAGCACATTCCACAGGGGCAGATGTTACTCTGTTAGCCAGTTTACCGAAACCTCTAATGAAGCAGTTAAAAGGAATTAAGACAGCAGACGTGGTGACCAAGTGACAGCGGGTTCTGTTGATTCGGCTCCTTGTATATGCAGCAATTGGAGAAAAAAACTAAAAAATTAAATCATGATTGCGCAAAATAAATGCGCAGAAATTCCATCCGAAACAAAAAAAAAAGGAGGGAAAATAAGGCCCCTTAAATAAATATTCTTCTTTTTAATGGTTTTCCCAGGAGAAAAAAAAAAAAAGAAATTATTACCACACCTACTGTTAAAAAATGGTATTTCCCGCGCCGTAAGAAAAAACTTATCAAAAAGAACCACCAGCCAACACGGCTATACCATCCGGGAGTTAGTGTCCGACGAAAAGTGTCCGAGGTTCTGTTTTTGCCGACGGCCTCTGTTGTTTTTCGGACATTTCCTGAAGAGACACAGCGAGAGAAAATGGTCAATATTAGAATCATTAAACAGATTTTGAATCGAGTTGCATATAAATAGAAACTTCCAAGATATTTCTCTTTCTAATCTGGATGAAAACAATGGTGTAGACAACAGGAAACTATTGTTAGATTATTGTGTCAGCGGGAGCAGAGCATCAACTAATGAATCAGATGGAAAGACTGGTGGCACAACTTGCTTTAACACTAGTAATACTTTGCAGTGAGGAAAAAAATGAAAGCAAAAACAGACGGGAAAATGTTTGGGGAAATGTCAATGTCAACACAGTTTGTTCTTCAGGAAGAACTGGTGGTGAGATTTGAACCAGTTTTAATATCTGAATGCTAGCTGACGTTAGTCTCCAGGCTGAGAGCCACTCTAAACATTGGCGTGATAATGGCAGCGACACACATTTAAACTTGTAGATATCAAACATGTTATATATTATCTGCACAGTCCTCAAGTTACCAAAAAATCTGGACCAACATCAGTTCAAACCAACATCCCAAACCAGATTTCTCCTGGGGAGAACATCAAACTCCACACAGAAAGATCCTGGGTGTCCTTGCGAACCGGCGACCTTCTTGCTGAGAGGCAACGGTGCTAACCACTGCTCCACCTATACCCATTAGTCTGCTAAATTAATATTTCAGTTAGTCGGCTAAGTGTGTAGATTAAATAATACTCAAGGATCTGCTCTTTATTATTTAAATAAGTTCGGTAAATCTGTTTAATGAATAAATACTGTTGTGTCTTAACCTAAATCTTTAAATTATTCAATTCAATTTGTGTAAAAAATTCTATTGCAGGGTCTTAACCTTCATATTTAAGTTAGTCAGTTAAATGAATGAAATGAAAAATACTTTATTTATCCCAGAAGGGAAATTCAATATGTATTATAAATAATACTGTATGGTCTTGGTCAGGTAAATCTGTGCTATATATTTTTATTGTGGAGTCTTAACCTTAAAAGGAAAATGTTTCAGTTAAATTCGTATAAGAAATACAACTGGAGAATCTTAAGGTTAATATTTACACAAGTTTGGCAAATTCGTATTATATTTATTATTGCGGGGTCTTAACCTAAATACTGAAGCTTCGTAGCTACATGTTTAATCTTAATTCTCTTTTAGGGTCTGTTGGTGTTTCTATGATGATACTTTAGACACAGATGTAAAACAAACACCAGCTTTAATAACATCTCAAACTTCTTATTTTCTCATGAATTAAAGACTTCTGAAGTGAAAAACTGCCTCACCTCGTGATGCACATCACCACGGCGACGATGATGGCGATCTGCACGGCACCGATGATGGCGGCGATGAGGACGTAGTGCAGCTTCTGTCCGCTGGGAACCACGTAGAGGATGTTGAAGTCCTGCGGCTCGTCGCACTGGGAACCTTTGTATCCTGCATCACATCTGGGTGGAAACACAGCAAAAATCATTTAACCGCATCGCTACAGAACGGTGATAATAGTTACAACGGTGTCACGATTTAACGCTGAAAATCTACAGGATGCTTTTCACATAACTGACCTGAAAACGGCTTGTGGTTGTAGCATCGTAGTAGCAGAAGTAGCACTAGTGGTGAAACTGGGGTACGAGTGCCACGGAAATACAATTTACTTCAGTTTTCTTCTACTCCACTCCTTTTATTTAATATCATGTAATTTTACTCATTAAATGCAACATATCCAGGACAACATAATCATATTTTAACAACTAAAAGAAGCCATACTATGTACTTGAACTACCTGAAGGACTATGGAAGCGTTTCGGTGCCAAACAAGGAAAACAAACACATGTTTATTGTTACAACACGATGTACATACATCATGGACATACAAACGTGTTATTGTCAGACAAACTTTTCTTGTACGAACAATGATTGTACTATAATGTGAAAAATCTTACATTATAGAGTGAAAATGTATTATATATATATAAACTGAAAAATGTATTTTTTTAGGGGTGGGACTTGAATTTAAAATAACACGTTAAAGTCCCACCCCAATATGCTTTAAAACGTTAATTACAACTAATGAATTACAACAAAAATAACGCATTAAAAAAATTAACGCATTCAATCACAGTTTGCATCCGGTCAGTGCCTGATTTCATGGTCCACCGATACACTGATGCACAAGATGTGTCAGCGCTACGCTAACAACAACAAACATGGAGGAATCCGATGAGAGTGCATCGCTTGGACTGATGGAGGACAAGCTTCATTTTTAAGAAAACTTCCTGATGGAAGCCTTGACAAGAGCGTGGTTTTGTGCAACTTGTGCAAAAAAGAATCTGCATCCCACAGAAGCACATCAAGCTATGGTACCACCTGAATGCAAAGAATGTTGCAGCGAGCACAGAAACCGCCGGAGCTGTTAGAGCTAGCAGTCCTGGATAGCAACAAATTTTTTTAACGCGTTATTTTTGTTCTAATTAATTAATCAATCATAATTAACACGTTAAAGTCCCACCCCTAGTGTTTTTATAACAAGATGTTTTTATAGTTTTATGACATACAAAATTCTCATTGTATTACAATAAACTTTTCTGATAATAATAATAATAATCATTCTATAGCGAGAAATATTTTACATTAAGATGTAAAAAATTTACTTTTAAGATTTTACATTTTTATTTTTTTTTTACTGGAAGTAGGAAACTCTGATCAGATAATTGCAGTCAAAGTGAGAACTTCCTTTCCTGACGTCCAGCTACCAGCAGTAGTTCACTGACCTGCAGGTTGCCATGTTGTATTTGATCTCACATTTCCCGTGAACACAGAAGCCGGCGTAGCTGTCGGCGCAGGGGATGGGCATGCCGGCGTAGAAACCGTCTCCGTGGTCCAGACCTGTGGTCTCTGAAACATGGACAAATAAAATACACCGAGACGATTAATGCTGCTGCAGAACCTGAAGGACTTTATCACAACATTAACGCCTTGTTTCTGTTCTGGATTCATATCAGGATTTGGTTCACTACAGGAAACATGCAAATGTTGGTAAAATGGTAAACCAAATAAAGCAACATGTTTGGTTTATAACGCTGTATGATGTCCCGTTTACCGCAGTGAAATCAGTTTATTTACCAATAAACTGATTTCACAAATATTTTACAAATTATAAATTAAACTTATTATAATAAACACAGGTTTAATTGTCTAGTCTATATTCTGCTGCAGTGACCTTTTTATTACATTCACTTTTACAAATATATTATTTAAAATACATATGAAACACATTTCATTTATTAGAACTAATTCACTATTTTACTTTTTAAATAACTTTTCTGGTTCTTATTTCTTATTCAATCTTCACTTCAGACATTAAAACCGTCTGATGTGACGTCTTTTTATAAATCTGTTATGAAGCTACGACAAAACTGTTTGTTGTCGTCGATGCTTTGATTTGTTTTTGACTTTATCTTTAAATCTTTTATTTTGTCCTGTTATTTTAATCTGAATATTTCAACGCTTTTTTTTCTTTCTCTGTAAAATTGTAGTGCAATAAATACAGCACTTTGCCTTTGTGTATGACATGTTCTGTACAAACAAACTTTCCTCTCCCTGATGGGTTAATTGGGAAAAAATCATTACAAAACATAAAATTTATGACAATAATGATCAAATATGACTGTTTTAAGGGAGAACTGTTGGGTTATAAACAGCTGCGGTGTCGCGTTGAGCAGATAAATCAGGAAATAAAGATGCTTTGACATAAAGACGTTCTTCAATCACACCGAGCTGCTTCTGCTCGCTATAATTCACGGCAGAATCACAGAAACAGCTCATTAAAATGACGGATACCAACGTTAGCGGCTCCACATTAACATAAAGAAGCTTTAAATAACAAACCCAGTGCTGGGCTTTAAAACTTCTCCTCAGTTGTGACGTTTTCTGGGATTTACAGGCTTAAAAAGCTACTGGATCAAACATCACAAAGAGATTATTATGAGCAGCTAAAGACATCAAACTGTTGCTTTACTTCAGAGTTTTTCCTCTTTTTTTTCAAACCTGTTTAATATTTTATCTGATATTTTATCTCTCACCATGAGCTCGTCCGGTTCTGCTTTTATCAGCGAAAAAAAAAAAAAATAAAACCAGTTTTGTGTTTAGACTATTTGAGATTTTAAGCCTCAGTTTGACAGCTGCAGTGACGGGACACGGGAAATAAAAGAAAAGACAGAAAGCTGATAGATAAAATTAGTTTATATGATTTATGGCATTTGTGTCCCAATCTTATTTTTGTTTTAAAATCTACAAAAATAAAGCGTTAGCACCAGATTCTGTTAAAAAAAAAAAGTTTCTGAACTCCTCAGTTGAATATTAAACATGTTTTTGTCATTTTCAACAGGTTTCATTTCATTTAGCAAGTTGTTTTTTTTTCATTTTAGACAGATTGAGTTAGTTTGGAGCATTTTTGCATCACTGTTGGACAGGTTTGAAGTCCATCCATCCATCCATCCATCCATCCATCCATCCATCATCTATACACCACTTAATCCTCACTAGAGACAAACAACCAAGCACACTCACATTCACACCTACGGACAATTTAGAATCACCAATTAACCTCAACATGTTTTTGGACTGTGTGAGAGGAAGCCGGAGAACCCGGAGAGAACCCACGCTGCACGGGGAGAACATGCAAACCCCACGCAGAAAGATCCCAGGTGTCCTCACTGGGATGCGAACCAGCGACCTTCTAGCTGTGAGGCAACGGTGCTAACCACTGCTCCACCTTGCAGCCCTTTAACCTCTAATATAAGGTTTCAACTCATATCAGACGAACTTTAACTCATTTTGGATATTTCTGGTGTCACTTTGGACACGTTTTGAGTCATTATAGATATGTTTTGTGCCAATTCGAACTGATTTGTCATTTCTGACATCTCGCTGAGTCATCTAAAAAAAAAGTTCATCATTTTGGACAATTTTTTCATCACTTTGCACAAGCTTCAATTTATTTTAGACAATGTTTGATTCATTTTGGACACATTTCAAGTCATTTTGGACCAATTTTAAGACATTTTGAGGAACTTTTGCATCACTTCTCAGTTTCAATGAAGCTATTTATTTTCAACAACTGCGTCCTACTGCACAGGAGACATTTCTGGGTTCTCTCTCAGTCTTTATGGTTGTTCTGTTTCCATAGAGGACTTTATATTGTGGTGAAAAGCGAGGAAAAATGAATCCATATTGAGGAAAAATGTAACAATGGCAAAAAAGATGTATAGTTATATCAAAGCAAAATGTGCACGTGTGGGTTTCTATCATTTTAAATGTTTATCTGTGGGACATAAAGGAAACACTGGTTGAGCTTCAGTGAGGTAAAATCAACACCAGTCCCAAAGTCCTGCCTCGATAAATCACCACTTTCTTTAAATTAATCCTTAAACCTTCCTTTTATCGCTTCGTCTTAGAGTCACTTCTGTGTTTTTCTCATGTGCAGCATCCTGAAGGTGTTCTTCATTTGTTTTGTCTCTGTGAAAGACGCCACAGAAACACGCTGATTATTAATCTGTGAGTGAAGTCGGCACTTTTCCTTCTTCTCTGAGTTCAGCCTTGTTAACCTTTAGCAACCCGGAGCGATAAAAACACGCAGTGAAGGTTGAGAATGTGGTTTTTATTCATTTATCTCCGGCTCTGAATGATTTATTTATACTTGAAGGACGGATGTTTGCTGGATGAAGGTCACCTGGACGAGCCGCAGATGAAAACGCTGCAGATATGAGCAGCTCGAGTGCTGCTTTTTCTCAGCTCTCCACTTCATCAGAGGCTGGAATGTTTGCTGCTGTTTGTCCACAGTGAAGGTTTATGAATCCGTCTGCGTGTGCCCAACTCAAAGGTTTCTGACGGAGCCGCGGAGGAATATGTCCTCCAGTGACGCACCGGTCGCTGATATCGATGATAAAACCTCCGCTCTCTGTTTCATCTCCGCTTTGATCTCCAGCATTTGCAGCTGAATCGTTCTGCTCCACTAATCTGCGTGTTTACTGATGAGAAATTACAGGATCAGCCTACAACCAAAAAAACTCACTTTATTTCAGTATCTGACTTCTGGTTTCCCCCCCCGTGCGAGGACACGATTGTGCATTAAGGAGATTTTCGGAGAGGTTTTATCCTCGGCAGGTTCAGTTGCAGGTTCACAGGCTGCCGACAGCTGTATTAAAGTTATATAATCTGAACACAGAGTCTCAGAGGTCATTAATGTGCACTTTCAGCCATGTAGCGGCTTAACTCTGGAATATCAGACTGAAAAACTGGACGGATCAACGCACAGTTTGCTGCAGATGTTCATGTGTCAGTCAGAACGACACATTTACCACCAGGAGACGTTTCCATGTCGTGTTTGTCAGGTTTCATTCATCCATCAGGAAAATGACCCAAATCTCACTGCACCACCGCAACAGTATTTATAACTGTATTTGTGTCGGGTAATTTAACTGTGTGTGTGTTTTTATGGCTGAACCTGCATCGTCATTTTGTTCTGCAGTGCGTCCTTGATATGCAGTTGTGACTCGATAATCTGACCCTTAACAATCCAGAAATATTGCTATCCGACAGATTTTTAGGAAAAACAAATGGAACCCATTAAAAACAGCCTTAACATACCGACAGCCTTGGATTCTGACTCCGACATGACAGTTAATGTCACAAATAAGGAAAACGGCGTATTATCTGACTTAACAATCCGACAGATTGGCTACGTTCAGACTGCAGGACTTAATGCTACATTTGGATTTTTTTGTGAAATCTGATTTTTTGGCGAGTTGGTTCACATTTCCAGCTAAATACGACTTGTATGTGATCTGCTGTGTGAACTTCATACGAACCAAAAGTGTCCCGCATGTGCAGAAGAGGACACGACGACGTCACACGCAGCGAGCGTGCTCTGCTATGGAAGTAAACACGGATGGTAACGATGGAGCATACCTCGCTGCCGCCGATGGTGGAAACAGAACTGTGACCGCTAACTAAACTAGCATCAGCAGCCAAGTACTGCCTGTATGTTCTGGCCACTTCCACCCCGTCGGAGCGCTCCCCCAGGGTGGAAGTGGCCAGAACGTGCACAATCACACCGTTCAATTAGACGTGAAATCCAGCGATGAGTAGTGTTCTAATACACTAGTTATTATAACAACTATAAACAATAAATATTAACAACAAATGAGCCTTCAAGCATCAAGCCTTCGACCTCCATCTTGACAATCCGACAGTCTTGCTATCCAACATAAAAGAAGGTTTTACATTTAGTGCCAGATTTTCGAATCACGACTGTAATTTGTATGAATGACAATAAAGTAGTCGGAGTCTGACATCTGAAAATCACAGTATTCTACATGTTTCATTTAAAAAGATTACCACAAAGTTCGCACCAGATTCTGAGCTGAAAATTTCTGAGCTCCTGAATCTGATGCTCCACGACGGACTCAGCAGGTTGAATATCAAACATGTTGTTGTCATTTTGGACCGTTTCTGCATCGCTATCCGACAGGTTTCAACTCACATCAGACCACTTCTGAGACATTTTAGACAGATCTTGAGCCACTTTAACAAATTTGACGATTTTTTGACTCATGTTGGACGTTGCTTTTAACAACTAGGACAAGTTGAAACCAATTCTGGACACGTTTTGTTTCATTTTGGACTAACTGTTGTTTGTGTTACAGGTTTTGACATTTTCTGACATCATGGACAGTTTATCAGTATCTTCGAACAGATTTTTAGCCATTTTGAAAACATTTGCGTCATTCGGACAATTTTTTACATCAACTTAAACAAGTTTCAATTCATTTTAGACCTTTGACTCGTTTTGGACAATGAGACATTTTTGTTTCAATGAATTTTAGACAGATTTAGTTTCATGTTGGGAAAATTTTGAATCATTTTGACACATTGTTTTACATGTTTTTGGTCATTTTGGACAACTTTTGCATCACTTTGCAGAGGTTTAGATTCATTTTAGACAAGTTGTGAGTCATTTTAGACATTCTTTTGGTATCTTAGACAATTTTTTTTAGTAATTTCTGACAAATTTTGAGTCATTTTGAAAAGTCTTCATCATTTTGAGTCATTTTAGACATTCTTTTGGTATCTTAGACAATTTTTTTTAGTAATTTCTGACAAATTTTGAGTCATTTTGAAAAGTCTTCATCATTTTGGATTTGTCACTTTGACTAAGTTTTGATTAATTTTAGACAATTTTAAATCATTTTGGAAAAGTTTGAAGTCATTTTAGACACATTTTAAGTCAAGTTTTAATTCATTTGACACATTTCTCTTCTTTTTGACCAATTCTGAGTAATTCTGAATGATTCTTCAATAATCTGTGGCAGATTCAGACTTATTTTCAAGTCTTCACAGTGGTCTGAGGGGTGAGTCGTCATTATATTTTGCTGCTGAGTTTCCAGAAAGATGGAAATAAAAACAGACTGATGAATCAACATTTAGGTGAAAATATACTTTCCAGGCAGCTGATTTCTGTTTTTGCTTCCAGTTGGAGTGACAACAAAAGTTTTAAAAGACCAATTTTTGCCATGATGTACACTGTTTGCATTCAAAGGGAGGATGAAATGAACCAGAATTCATATTTAACTTGCAGAACAGCGTCTTTCTAACTGACAGACATCAAGGACAGAACGACAAAAAGAGCCACACAGTGACGGATTTTTCTTTCTTACCTAAGACTTTGACTTTGAAAGGGCTGCTGTCGTCTTTCTTCCCCAGTTTTTCTTTATCAGCTGTGGAGAAAAAAAAAACAAAAAACAAAGTCAGAGTTTCTCTAAATAACCACAAACAAGTTGTTTTTGTCAACATGCTGGAAACACATTTCAGTCTTTACATCCTGGTTTGTTTCTTCGAACTGTCACCGTCTGTCTGCTTGACTTCCTGTCTGTCGCCTCGTGTCTTTTCCGATTTCTTCATTCGCTCTGTGTGTGTGTTTGTGTGTGTTTGTGTGTCTGTGTGTGTTTGTGTGTCTGTGTGTGTTTGTGTGTTGTGCTGTTTATTCCTCAGGACAGACTAAAGGAAGTGGAAGATGTCGGGGGATGTTTACTGGATGTGTGAGTCTCGCTCTGTTTGCTGGAGTCGAGGTGTTGAAGGGTCAATCTCACCTGACACCGTGTGTGTGTGTGTGTGTGTGCAGGCCAACGAACAAACAAACAAAGCAGCAGCAGGGCCTGGTTCGGTGTGATGCTGCGGTTATTTTGCTGTCGACAGGCTTTATGTCTTCATGTTGTCTGCAGCTGAATGTTAAACAGCACAAACACACACACATTCTGAATTACAGCTTTAATTTCTCACTGATAGCAGATTAATAATGAGGTGCAGTCAGACCATTCCACACAAACAACGGGTTTGATTATGTGAGAATAAATTCTGCATGACTCCGTTATTTTGTTGAATTGTCAAAATTGTACTTATTATGTATGGCACTGAAGGAGCTGCTCTTAATCTCATTGTACTTGTGTATAGTGACAATAAAGGCATTCTATTCTATTCTTCTATTCTAAAATGAGCCGATTCTCTCCTCTGTGACGCTGTAGGAAAGGAAACCAGTCTGAGGACGGAGTTTTTCCAGAAGATCGAGGTTTACGTCTCGTGACAAACCAAAGACCAATCTTATATTTAAATTCCATTCAGTTTTTTGCTCACTTTCTGGTTCGATTCAGTTTAAAAAAAAAAAAAAAAAAAGCGAGATTAATTGCTATTAATTAATTACAAAGCCTCTAATTAGATTCCTTTTTTAAAAAATTGCATCCCTCCACTGGTTTTTATGCGTTGGCTTTCTATCTAATGTCATCTATTTTTTTTAAAAATTCTGTTTTTTAATCTATTCTTATTTAAATCCAGCTAACTCGCTACCTGTTTTGTCTTTTTATTGGCTCATCAGCCATCTGTGAAGCACTCTAAATGCGCTGAGGTGTGTGAAAGGTGCTGAACAAATAAAGCTTAACTGATCGATGGATGGATTGACCACAGTCACCCATAAGACACAACACGGGCTCAACGCCAGATGCAACTTTTCAGTCCTGACACCTTATTTTTGTGTTAATATTACAGATTTCTCAAAAAAATTTTGGTGAAATGCTACAAAATTAAGCTTTAAACTGCAGTTTGTCCTCACAGAGATGCATAAATACACACAAACAAAGCAGGAGGGAAGCGAAATATGCAAAGAGTAAACACAGTCATCCATTTTTAAAGCTCCTGTGTTCCTCGGGAAATATTGATAGAAGTCTTTGTCTGTTTTACCTCCTTCCTGCTTCTTTGCAACCAAACAACACGGAGACTGATTATATAACAGTCGACTGATGCAAGAGAAGAAAAGAACAATGAGGTAAAGTTTGAGGACTCGGCTGTAGTTTCTGTGTCTATTTACAGCTCTTGATTTTTATAGAAATCCCTGCTAACATGTCAGGATGTGAGTTTTTTTTTTTCCTTTTTCTTGAACTAATTCAACCTGCAGCGTGTTCCTGTTCTCTCCTCGCTCTGCTGTAATTAATTTAATCAACTTAATTTAGCCTCTTCTAGGAAACATCCTCCTCTCTCTATCAAACAACACTTTTAGGAAAAACCCCACGACGAACATGTTGTCAGAGAATTTTTAGTCGCTTTCAGTGGTTTGAATATTTTAGTATTTTATATTTATTTCATTTTAGATATTGATCCTACACGTTTGAATCCAATTATGTCTTGTTTTTTTAATTTTAAATATTGTTTAGTTTTGTTTTTGACATTTATTTTACAAGTTATCTTGCTCTGTCTGTTTTATTTCACATATTTCTGTTGTTTCCTGTCCTATAAAACGTGCTGCAGCTTTAGATAAATACACTCAGCAGGTTTTTATTGCGTTGCATATTGTAGTGGTTTGTTAGCAACTGAAACTAGATACTAATGTGAGTATAACGTGATTAATAACCAAAAATAAACGACCGACCTGCACTGCCAAGTTGTTGATTTTAGATTTTATTCTAACGTTTGGTGCCTGTGCAAAGGTTTTCAGCATTTTACATGTTTCTTATCTATAAAGCAAAACTTCTGTCAAGTTAGAGTCAAACTACAAGATCGAAGAGTTCTGCAGCTCCTTTGAAATACAGTCGTGACTCGACAATCCGACACTAAGTGTAAAACCTTCTTTTATGTCGGATAGCAAGGCTGTTGGATTGTCAAGACGGAGGTCGAGATACAAGGAGGGCTTGATGCTTGAAGGCTCATTTGTTGTTCATATTTATTGTTTAAAGTTGTTATAATAACCAGTGTGTTGTTAGAACACTACGCATCGCTGGATTTCACGTCTAATTGAACGGTGCGCTTGTGCACGTCTGGCTAGTTCCACCCCGGGGAAGCGCCCCGACGGGGTGGATATGGCAGGAACGCACATGCCAGTTCAGAATAGCGGTCACAGTTCTGTTTCCACCATCGGTGACGGTGACGGTGGCGGCAGCGGCGACGACGAAGGAGTGGCAGATACGCTCCACCATTACCATCCGTGTTTACTCTCCCAAACACTGAGCACGCTCGCTGTGTGTGACATCATCGTGTCCTCTTCTGCGAATGTGGGACACTTTTGGGTTGTATGAAGTTCACACAGTAGATCACATCCAAGTCGCATTTAACTGGAAATGTGAACGAACTCACAAAAAATCGGATTTCACAAAAAAATCCTAGTTGAGCATTAAGTCCTACAGTCTGAACGTAGCCAATCTGTCGGATTGTTAAGTCAGATAATACGCTGTTATCCTTATTTGAGACATAGAATGTCATGTTGGAGTCAGAATCCGAGGCTGTTGGTATGTTAAGGTTATTTTCTATGGGTTCCGTTAGAATAGCAAGGTTTTTGGATTGTTAAGGGTCGGATTATCAAGTCACGACTATATTCTCATCAATTACAGATACCAGCTGATATTGATGATATTATGAATTAGATTTCCAGGAAATTATGGAAAGTACAGCAAAAATTACAACCTCGTAGTCTCAGCACAAGTCATCAAATTCATTGAAATATGCAGTAAATGTATCCACCGGAGGATGAATCCTGTGAAACACTAACGATAAAACTACCTTAATTTCCCACCGGCTGATGGTTTGGGTGAATATTTAATGACGTTAATGGACCACAGATTTACAACCAACTACAACTAGAGCTCAGTGCCGTAACAAATGAGCTTATCCATCTCAGTTCGATTAGTTTTAATTTCTTTTAATTAATTTGATTCATTAAGGTGTTTGTGAGGGCAGATGACAGAGTTACAGCAGCTTGATGATTCCTTTGGTAAATAATCACTCAAACATGGATGAAAATTCACTCTGTGTTGCTCTATGAGACCAGAGAGTGAAGCTGCAGCGAAAAATCAACTCGTCGGCAACCATTAAATCAGTTGCTGACTGTTTTGATAGTTGATCAATTGGTTTGAATTAATATTTAAAGTACAAAAAGTCGAAAAGCTCAAACGGACATTTTTTAAAGTATGAATATTTTCTACTTTCTGTCCTCCTCTGTGACAGAAAACTGAATATCTCTGGGTTATAACATTTGTTATTTTGCACTTCAGGAAACACTTATCGGCAATTTTCACCATTTTATAAATCAGCTAACGAAGAAAATCGCCAAAACATTTTTGTTTCCACATAGCGGTCAATCAAATGTGAAAGAAACTTTTTTTTTTTTTGGACATAAAAGAAGAAACGCAAAAGCAATAATATATATAAGTACGATGCATCACTGAAATAAAATAAGTGAACTTATAATAATAATAACAAGGCTGGATAGAACAGTATAAAGTAATTCTGGCAACTACACTGAGCTAATATCACACATGATAATGAAACACTGAACCTGAAAATGAGATGAAAATGAAGTGTTGCGGAAACGAACAAAGAAGTTTAAAAGAAATGTCACGTCTTAATATAATATCTGGACGACCACATTTGGGCCACAAACGACTTTTTTTTTTTGCTACGGCTGCAGTAAAATAAATTATCCTCTGAGTTTGGTTTGTGGTGTTTGGTGAACCGAAGCGTTGGCTTGATGCCCTGAGGAGGCGGCCGATCAGCAGAGGGGGCAGCTGCTCTTCACCTCAGGGCTTCTAGACTCCCACGTTCCCCTCCCAGCCGCCACCTCCCAGAGCCAATCAGACGCCTGGTCGCCGTCCGCCTTAAAGCCACAACCGATGACAAGAAATCCATAAATCCTGCCGGGTTACGGCCTCCTGCCAGCAGCCACAGAGAGAGCGACTCCGGCAGGACGACACTTTGTGATTCAAGGTGAGTCCATCAACATAAATCAGGGCTCAGACTCGGAGCTTGTTGGCAGCGGCTCTGAAAAACATCAGACGGCAAACTGTGACTGCAAATGAGGTTTGTATCTCACACTCGCCTCCTCCGAGAGGAGAAATCATTCAGCGACGGATCAGAGGAGTCATGACTCATCTCAGCGGTGTTTTTAGCTTCTTCATTAAAATCTGCTCTGCATATTTAGGAATGAAACAAGAAATTAAACATGGGAGATGTTCTGCGGCGTCACTCGCAAAGTGGGAACAAATAAAGCAGAACTAAGAGGAGCTTTTTAACCTCCTGAACCTCAGAATCTGTTGGCAGATTTAAAAAGCATGCAACCTTTACAAGAAGAAGTCGCTAAAATTATACCTCTTACCAGAACAAGAAACTGTAAAAACAACAAACTCGTTGGACTTTCAATTTTTCTTGATATACTCATGTTTGAGGGCCTGGCATCATTGGA